ACACACACACACATTCACACACACATACATACATACACACACATATCCATACGCCTGATACACAAATAGACACATCAAACAGCTAAGAGACGAACTAAATAGCTATATCCTATCGGTCAATATTGCGGAATTAAAGTGATTTTAACGACTGTGACACAGACAGAAAGACAGACAGACGAACAGATATAAGCATTCAATAGAAATAAGCAATTTGAACATTGCAATTATATTGATCAGTATGTGTAAAAGGTATAATTAACGAAATCAAATCATTCCTTAAGATGTTGATTTAAGGAACTATCAATGAATGGGGACAGTAAATAATGAATAATCATATGGATATTGTAATTAAAAAAGTTTTCCAGAAAAAAGTAGAGGAGTAAAACAAGACAAAATGTGGTAGGGTCATATTGACAAAGCAAATAAGCTGATAACAAATACAAAAGTTGAGGAATCGAATAGACCTTGGTGTGATCGTGTAGGATCAATAAAGCGAAGATCGTTGTAGATAAATGTGAAGCAAATTGAAATGAAGAATAGATGAAATTACATAACAAACATTCACAGGTAATGGGAAGTGAAACTTTGCTTTGCTCAAACTAACAACTGTTACTTCTAAGCATTGAATGAAACATACCAGTAATTGATTGACACGAGAGTACCGGAGAAGTGAACTGAATGAATGAATGAAATGTTCTATCCGACAACACATGCGAATGAAGCAGACATGGTGGAAGTGTTGCGAAGAAATCTCTTTTCCGGTCAAAAAAGATTTCTGGTAAGTCTACGACAGCCTTTTGCGTCTTTGCCATCTTCCGAATTCATTTCGCTCCTTTCAGATTGTTACTATCGACCCAGGGCACACATTCTTCCTTCTGGTCCACAACCTCTCGCATCCTCTCTCTTTCTTTTTATCTCAATATCACTTTATAGCGTAAAGGTCACTAATGAATTCTCTCTCCTTCATGCCTCTCTTATAATAACAAATTCAAGACTGGTAAATTATCGTTATAATTATCGACTAATAAAGAAGAAACCGATCACGGATGTATTAGTTTGAAAATGATCTAAAAATCTGAAATATCCTTTGGTAAAATGGAACTACTCACGAGTGAATCCTTTAAGCAACCATTTCCTTTAGCAGTATATCTTACCAAGACGCGAATCAAACACTTATGTCATCCCTTTTATTACGAACAACATTATCAATTCCGGTAAGCCAAAGGCTAACATATAACTCTTGTAAGTTCTTTGAAATTGAAATTTGAAAAATCAGAGAAATATAAAAATCATCGTAATCAAATAAATGATCTTCAACAATCTTTCAAATATTTCCATCATATACACACATATCGTAAAAATCTCTTTACCTCCCCCTCCTTTTCCTGCTCTTCCTTCCTTCCTCTCCCTCTTTCTTTGTTTCTCCCTCTCCCTCTTCCTATACATACATATACAATTAATGTACGCAAGTAAAACACGCAAATGGTAAATAAGAGAAATGAGTGATCTAACATTACATGTGACTGATGAATGTCAGATATGTAAATTATATTCATATTGAATGAAGTGAAAATATGCACTAAATGAAACCAATATGAAAATTCAACATTGAAAAAAACAAAATCGAAAATTCGCAAATTCGTGTAACGAGGATTACGTCGGATGTGAAGGGACGAATATGCACGAATACGAGAAATCATTTTGCCACAACATCTCAAGATATTTTTTCCTATGTGATCGTAACGTCCGTGATAATTGAAAACCTCATTTTACTTTTTTAACTTTCTATGCTTCTTTCTTATGACTTCCGTTTTCTATCAATTCCTAAAATAGCAATCATTCAAAATATTTACAACAAAATAATATAATCCATGCAAGAACAATGATAATTTTTCAGCATTTTATTTTAAAATAAAAACCCGTAGAAGCAATGAATTACACAGATACAAATCACATTAAAAAGTGCTCGAATCTCACGTTAAAAATCAAAATTTATGGAAAAATCGAGAAATTTAGCAAGTCATATCCAATGAATAAGTGGAATCCAGAAATTTCGGTCATTTTCAAATTAGAATTAAAGTAAGAACTAAAATACAGCATTTTTTTGTTTTCATAAGAAGACTTTCATGCTTAGATTCGTTGTGGTGAGTATCGAATAAAAATTATATGTTGAAATCTATCACGCAAATTTTACAACAATGAAATTTGCATTAATATATGCCTCATATTACATTAGTGGACTTGAAAAATTTATAAATTTGAAGCGAAAATCTGAAAGTTTTTTGGAAAGCTAAATAGAAAAGATATAAAACTTGCAAAAAAATTGTCCTTTTTGAATAAACACTAAAAAGTGCCTGTGAAATGAAAAAAAGATTTCAAAATTTTATTCAGAATCAATGATGAAGATATCACTTCAATTTGATTTCTAATCATCGATTTTTTCATAACGAATAGCAGCATTACAAATATCATTTATGTAAATAAAGAAAGGCATGCTTATTGAATCATTGTTATAAGTTTTTCGAAGTCAAGAGCAAGGCGATCGATTTTAACCGCTTGATCATTCGGATGCACTCGATTTATACATATTCTTACTTGACGCATAAGTTGGTTAATATCATCAGGCGGAACCAGAACAACTTCCATTTTTGACTCACGAATACATTTCATCATCCTAAAAATTTTCCCGAAAAGCAACTTGAATTTCACGGAAAAATTGTTCCGAGTTAAAATTTTAAGTTCTATATTTTGTTCAAGTTTCATATTTTCCATCACTCTTAAGACATCTTTGCTTTGCAGTAAAGATTTTTATAGAATAAAGCAATTAACTTTCTAAAATCAAAAAATATTGAATTATGAAGTAAAAAAAGATGCTTATTCGATACTCATTTTTGATTTAAATTTGAGATCACAGCATCAGATTTTATATGATACTCTTCTTAATTGGTGTTCTGCTGAACACAATAAAGAAATTAGGACTTTCAATCACTTGTTTAACAGGAAGTAAAGTAATTGTATAACCAAAATTAAATTATTCATTAAATAGATTGAAATCCATCCTACCGATCATTCATAAATGACATCTTTAAACCGCGCATCATAAGATCCTCCTTTTCATTTGTGTCGAACCATTTTCTGACACGGGCAACAGCTATGTCAAAAAGTTCATAAGGCAGAAGTTCCATATTTTCCATCACTCTTAAGACATCTTTTGCCTGGCCGTCAAGACCTTTTTGGAATAAAGTAACAACTTCCTAAAATCATAAAAATCTCCCGATTTCCCCGAAGATAAAAAATTCATTAAAGAAATTTTTTGTTAAAAGAAGACGAATTTTTCAATTTTGATTCTCGAATACTTATGACATTTCAAATTTGCAAACACTTCAACTTATCTAGATTTTTTTCTTCCAACACAACTGAAACTATACTTTGCTCTTGATTTCGTCAGTATTAAGTGCCCAATCATCAGCTAAATCATAGATATGAAAACGTAGGTCACGAGTAAATTCTGATGAACCATTATGAGCGATACATGTCTTTAGAAAATCCATTCTCTTTTCTCGAACACTTTCCGTAACGCTTTCCATCGGAATCAATGGATGGGCGTAAAATGATTCAAAAAACGCCCGTTCACCAATCGAATCGAACAAATATTTTGGTCCTGGAGGCCATTCTTCCAGAGCAACCTACAGATTCTATAATTTAAAATTTTAAATTTCAGCAACTATACAACTACTTTCTCTCTTATCAGGTTAAGTTATTTCAACTAGAAAAAACATTCCATTGAGTTAGTGATTTGAGAAATCTAATTCATTCAACCACCACAAGAACACCACAGCATCCAGTGAATGAAAAGAATTCCAAAATCATACATCTTCTACATTTTACTCATATTTACTCTGGTGCCACAACTAAATTTGAGGTAAACATGTAATTCTCCAAACACTTGACCATTATCACTCAGTGTAAAAAATTGTTTGTAAGTAAACTTACTTGCAATTCGATCACCATCGCAAGGTCATGATGATGACAAACAAGCGGATAATTTACTGGCTTCTGAAGTCCAGCCATAAGACTCAACGGTTTTCTGAAAAATGTTAGAAGCAATAAATAATTTAAAAACTGAGAATTGAAAATAAATGTGATATTTCGGACTGTATAAAAGTTCTTTTTCTTGTGATAATGGATTTAACAATTTACAACATACCAGAAGATTTAGTTCACGAATAAATCACCGATAATAAATTTATTTAGAATAAGTGAAAAGAACAATGAGAAGGTTTGTCTCAAGGGTAATAATATCATGCATGGATAAATTGATCGGATATAACTTATTAAGCTAATTCTGGTTTAAAGCAACAAATATTACCCAGCATCTATCTAGAAGACTATAAATCTGATGATCTTGGCAATAAAAGTTCCAACACCGACAAACTTAATGTGACAAAAAAATAAATGATATCAAGGATCGAGGTTGTTTCGTTTAGGAAAAGGATTCATGATATATCCATTCAATAACTAAATTACATACAATGATGTGAAGGAATAATAGCATACTTTGGTTTCGTTTGTTTACGCCGTCGAAATTCAAACATTGATTCAATAAAATCTTCGAATAAATTATAGCCAACAGAAGCATTCGAGGAATCTTCATTTCCATCGACTGCTTCCGCAAATCTTATAGAATTCCGTAACAATCGTAAAACTTTTGTACAGCAGGAAGGGAAATGCTCCTGAAATGCAAAATATTTCTTTAAAAAGCATTTTATGGAATTCAATCTATGAAAAAAGATTGAATTAGTAAGCATATAAAATAATCTAATATGTATGAAGACAGTCATCTTTTCAGAGTCAGATATAATATATCATGAGGTGACATAACCAATTATGAAATATATTTTTTTACCAGCGTAACAAATTTCATAATTGGTTATGTAACACATATTACATTTTTGAAATAGCTTTTTTTTCAAAACATAATAAGTTGTTTAGTTGCATGTGAAATTCTGTTGTTCAGCAAAATAATTTCTATCAAAATCACTAACATTCTCAAAACTTTTAAAAATTTCCAAAAACAAAAGCTTGCCAGGTCCATTCGGCAATTCTCCAATTTTTTAAACTTCGATGATTTCCGATTTAGAAAATCGTAAATGTATCGGAAAGGTTGACGAAGAAACGTGTCCCATAGCATAAAACAGATACCGTGTTGTAATATGCCTGCTTCACCCAAGAGCTCAACAAATTTCACTGTTTTCTGAAAAGGAAAAGCAGATAAAAAAGAAATAAGAACATCAATATATCATTTACTATCAATAGAATGAATAAGCACATAAAAATAATTGATCCAACTGAAAATTAGGTAATGCTAATAAAAGAAAATAATCTACATTAAGTTAAAAATTTAATTAAAACTAAAAAAGTTTGCTTATCTATAATTTATTTGAAGAACAAAAGAAAAAATGATAAGTACGAAAATATAAATAAAACTGTGCATGGGATTCATACTTTTAACAATTTGCAAGCTTCATTTTTATCTTTCTGACGCCTCCATGCACCAATACATTCCCATGCACAATCACATATGACAAGTTCAGGTGAAAGACTTATTGGAAACAATTTTCTCAATTCACCGATTGTAACTTCCCATTTTACTTTCGGATTTACTACTGATGGATCATCTAAGATATCATAAAGATGTTCCGGATCCAAATTGAATCCTGCTGACCATTTACCAATCTAAAATTTTACAATTCATCTCAAATTAAAAGAAAATCCATCCCATACGTATAACCCAGAATTGTTTCATATTTGAATTTTCCTCTTTCTCCAGCCAACTGATCTAACCGATACATATCTTTTTCATGATTCGGCTGAATGGTCGTAAAATAAATAATGCAAAATTAAAGTTTAAATTTCGAGAAGTTAAGTATTCTTCTCGAAAAGATTAAAAGACTAAAAACCTGTTCTCTATAATAAGCTGGACCACCACTGATTAAGTCTGAAAGGCAGACTTGTAAATCACCAGGTAGTGCTTTAAGAACAAGCATGCACTGCAAATGTCTTAAAAGCAAATCCCACCATTCCAACGATAATTCCACCTCATCCCAATCCTCATGATTCGATTCATCATTCAATTTGCTGCTGCTGCTGATCATCTAAAATATCAGATTTGTTAGCAGAAAATTTGCAAAACTTATCGCAACATATTCTCAAATCATTTTCCCTCATTCTCTGTGCCTAGGCAGTTGTCACTTACTTTTATTCGCATTTCTATTTATAAAATGACAAATAACATAAAACACTAACCACATTTAATAATGAATGTCTCCGAGTGAATGCGATAGCTCGTGCAACCAAACACAATGTCAGAGCTGCACCAAGTTCTTGGCTAAAAATATTTCAAATCTTATTACCGGAAACTAACTTCATACACTTATGGTTCATAAAAAATCTCTAGAAACATCATACAATGTCAGTCTAGAAAATTGAGAACCTGATAAGAATATTTCGCTCTACTTTGGTTAACCAAGATTGTCCATCTGAATCAACTTCCGATAGATGCTTACAGAGGATTAAAACACGTGGCAAGCGATGAACGAGATCATCACATGGATTCATCCAATATGCACAAAACGCATCCGCAAAATCTTTCTAAATAATCGTATGCATTATCATGTAATTAGCAGGAAACTAAAAATGCTATGATCCATGTAATCCTAGCTACGTTTCTTAACATTACAAAACAGGGCTGGAGAATAGATTACAATGCAACATAATCTAAGCATACCTGATCATTATATATAAGAAAGAAAGAAGTGGGAAACTTATGAAGTACACCATCATTTACTGTCACAACTATCAATAGTAACCATGAAAAAAAGACAAAAAATTATTCGGAGACATAAGTGCATGTAAAATCAATGAATCATTATGATATAATGTACATCTTACTTCTGATAAGCCGAGTTGTGGTATTACATAGTTTACAAACTGCTGAATTGTACAGCGTTCCGTTAATACGCCATCAAAAAGGAGCTCGCCGAATGCAACGGTTTTCTTGACTAATCTGAAACTGATCTGCCGTTTCGTTTTTAACATATCTATTCAACTGTCAACTGTTTTCAAACAAGTCAATGGACAATAAAAAAACTACTTGTTTTTCAGTCGTATTTCGTTCGACGCTATCAGATTCGCTTGAACCAAATCAAAATGCGCTATGAATTCAGCAAGTGTAAGGTTTTTCCCTTTCGAAGAATTATTCTTAGTGTGATACCTGAATGACAAGAAAATTTATCGCAATTTTCATGGAGAGATACATAAATTCTTGCAAAATATAAGTGTGTGGAAAACGCATCTTCTTGCAAATGGGTTGTTAAGCGAGGGAAAAAGAAAATTTTATATCACTGAATTCCTTTACTCTCAGAAAATTAAAATTGTGGACCGTTTAAGCAGTCACTTAAAGTAATCACAGCTTAGAGAATTAGCTGATTAAAATGCTACAAATTCTAACAACTATTTCTATGCAAACCTCAGGGCTTAAACTTACTCGGAAAACTCGGAAATTCGTTGAAGGCATAAATCCAACATTTCTTTACTGATGGAAAGGCTTTCAGCAATATCAGTCTTTTCGAATTCCTCATTTGTTGTGTTCGGCGGTTCAGTATTTATTTTAAGCAAATATATATAAACATGAAGCAACCGTGAAATTGTAGTAACATAAATCACCAAATTATTTCTATCTGGGGATTCCTTCTGAAAAAAAAATTGCGCGCTTTATTTAACACACTTTAATCGTTATTACTTTGTGGTTATTATCAACAAATACATATACGAACAAGAAATGATGTGAGGAAATTTCTGAACAGCTAAATTTTTCAAAGTCTTTAACTACACATGAAGGGAGCAGGAAATAGATTATAAATAAAAAGGAAATGATTTAAACGAAGATTTTTACAGGGCTGCCAAATAAAATAAGATGTCTTCCCTAACAAAATGTAGAAAAATGGAATATATTTGCTAAGTCGAAAGACGATCTGAGTGAAGCAACTGCATAGCTAAAAACAAAAGTTAAAAATAGCGTAAAACCCAAACCGTTGCATGAAAGCTTTCTACATGCTGTAGAACGGAAGTCATAACATCGCCAAGTCTGTAACAGTCGATGTCACAATCCCGCCAAAGAAGATCCACACTTTCTCGCAGTGCAGGAATCGTCTTCAGAGCACGGAAAAATTGCAACCAAGTTGAAAAATCTTCAATGATGCCATCTTTTATCATGTGATTAATCTGAAATCCATCTTTCGTTATATACCACATGTTTTCAATTTCCATTTTTTTAAATACTATTATATCTTATGGCCGTAGTCAAAAAAATCCAATTACCTATCCTTATCTGCTAGAGATATACCGAGCCCGGTAGCTGTATGGCAAATCAAAACCTTGAATATAGAAACTATCAAATTAATTTGATTACGGCATTTAAGAAGAAAATTATATTTATTCAGTTCTCTAAGCAACTTTCCAATTTCAGTTATCTTTTACGGGAAGAAATGGATTATAGATGGAGAATTCTGAAAATGAATTAGCGTGTGAATTAACCTCTTTGATAATACTTGAATCATGAATAACGGAGTCACTTTCGTCCGATAATGCACAATGGAAGGGAATCCACAGGTGCTAAAAGTATGAGGTAAAGAAACAAAAATTTAGTTTAAACCAAATCGCATCATAATAATTCAGACATCATAATTCCCGAAATTTTAAATCATTCTTACATGAATCGTTCCATCCGATGATAAAAAGAAAACGGATGGCAAATATGATGCAGCCCGTTCATTGCAGCCTAATAAATGATCACTGAGTCGCGGTATACCAATTAATCGACCATGTCGATCCACTCTTGACGCAAAAACTCGCCTTCCATTCTGAATTCTTGAAAACAGTTAAATGGAACGTGAATGGAACTTCCATTAACATTTTATTCCATCCAGAAATTAATTATTACTACAAATGATAAGAATTCTCCGAAATAGCTAAGTACAGAAAGTTAATAATCCAAATTTCATTTAACAATAATTTCAAAGGATTTCGATTTGAAATGGAGTAAAGTTGTAAATTATGGCCAATCATTACATGATAAAATACATAAAATATATACAAAACTAAAAGCACAAACTAGCTATGTTCCTTCTTTCACAGGAAATATAGTATACCTGATCACAGAGATTATGTCCCTTCCTACAATGATAAAAAATTCCAGAAAAATCTGCAAACTAAACGAAACCTGCATACTCCAAGCTTCAAGTAAACCACGCCTTGGTGCAAATATTATCAAGAATAAAGCAGTTGATGGTTGTACTTCAAGTTCATATCTACTTTTCTTCCGGTCTAATGTGGATTCATCTTCCAACCAGGCACAACGCGCATCACGATATCCTTTCCACATCCGCACCATTTGACGGGTTCTAATCTATAAATTTATCCTTAGTAAATCTTTCACTTCCACAAAAATTCCACTACTATAAGAATTTCACAACTTATGATGAAAAAGATTCTGAACAGATTATACACATGAAAGAGTTGTATGAAAAGTTTAATAATAAGCACATCACTAACATCAATTAAGGTCACGCGGGCTAACGAATCTGTCACTGCAGCAAGTTTATACTTTGCTGGTGCCATATATATGCGTTCACCTTCCCGCTTGCCATCAACAATAGATGAACGCATTGGTATCACAGCAATGGGTTTGATTTCAACAATCGGTTGATGATCCTTTCGAGATGTGCCTATACCCAGGAATGAACGTATCCCAAATGATGACATGCTTGATGCAACAGAGGATGTAAGCTGAAAATATATTTTTTCAAAGTAAAAAATTATTCTTTGTCTCCCTTCTCTACGAAAAAAATTAAAGTTTTGCATACCTGACTTCCAAGAGCATATAAAGCATCACTTAAGACATTCTGTGGAGCACTTGGTGTATGCCAACCAAAACCTACATAGGGTGACCGGCCAACAAAAACATATGTCGAATAAAGCGGAAGTGATGAGCGTTCTATTTTAGCCTGAAAATCCTTAAAATATATCGAAGCCTCATTTCTTATTCTGCACATCAGATGTCAATTAACAGATTGTATTACATATACCTCTCCTTCACCAAATGATGAAATTTGAAAAAGAGTAATTTCAAAAAATTTCGCTACACAAATTATTGTCGACCAAAGTCGAGAATTTTATCAGGGAATATGAAATTACTAACCTACGCGAGAAAATCTAAAACTGATCACTATCGATAACTGCATCCCGCTGAATAAGTTCAGCATTTACCTTGTAACCGTAAGGCGAAAGTGTTGCAGCACTATGGAGGTCGAACCAGGTTGCTTTTAATAGACCCGAAATACCGAAATCGACTACGTTTATGCCAGATTCAAATTTCAACTTCTCAACATTTAACTTTGCATGAGCTGCTACTTTCTCTATGTCCATCTCACCGCAGGCAAGCTGCAAAAAGAAAACATCCATTTTGTTCTTATCCAATATGAAAAAAAGAATTATATCAAAATTCTCCTTTTTCTTTATTGTTGATTTGTATGATTAAGCAAATGGTAAGCAATTAAAGACAAACGACAAAAAAAGGTATCAAATCACACAAAACAAATTTCAGAAAAACTAAAGAACAATAGTATAATTATAAGATAGGATGCTGTTTTTAAACTGGAAAATTACAAAATTATTGGCTAAATTTATGCTAACGAAGCGGAACCGATGATATGAAAGTTACATGAAGTAGAAAGCAAACAGTGATTTCTTATAAAAAATATAAACTGTGACGAAAGTGGCTAAAAAAATCATTAGATCATACCTGACTTTTCGCTGTTTTCAACGCTACGTATAATGAAAGACCTTCAATACACGTCAATTCGGTTTGTGACAGTACCGCCAGTTCTTGATTTCCAGCCATCACCGATCTTCCAAGACGAATTTCTTCGATAGGGCTGCAAAACGGCAGCTTACTGTCGAGGAAGGCGGAAAAAATTGGCATACAAATTCTTTAAATTTACAGCATTTCGCCCTAAACAATATTTTTGAATCAGTTCAAAAATACATCCTTTTATATCTTCAAAAAACTATTCACCACTGCTAGAAATCATCGAGTTCCAGAAACACGTATAATTTTGTTCCTATCTAAAGAGAAGCAGGCTGTTGTCCATCAGCTATAAATTCCATGAAAATTTTTTGTATTCAAATTTTTCTTAATAAATGTTTAATCATCACCTGTTCGAAATGTGATCAGAACGTAGCAGTAAGCCTTTTTCAGTAAAAAATCGGACATATCCATTGCTCATTCCAACAGCAATTGCTGACCAGTCATATAATGACGTTTCCGTTTTTCTTGTACAACTCAATGGCAATACGCATAGGCATCGAATATAAGCCTTAAAAAATTGGTCAGTGGTTTTAACCCTAATTATCAAAACCATGAAAAAATCAAAAAATAAGTTAACGTACAATTTCAAATTTTATACAAAAGATTAAATTGATATACCGGAGGGGACCATGATAAATCAGCAGTATTGAACTGCGCAATTATTTGAAATGTATTGTCTGAAGGATTTTTCTCAATTGAAACAACCTTTTGCGCATGAGCAAAAACTAGCAAATCCATATTCCCTGTAATCAAAGCAATTAAATTCCAAGCTAATTTACTAGCTGAAATTATGAAATTCTTTTAGAGAACCCAAATGATGATTAATTTACACATTTTTTAGGTTCCCTAAGATTCCTTCAGGCTCCCAATGTATAAATTAATCTAAGTGCAAAAAGCTCCGTGCAATTAAACTCTGGGATCATGAATGCAGAAAAATTCATTAATTCCTACTGGTGATAAGTAAACAGCAATTGTTTGAAAATTCCGTATGAATAAGAAAACAAAAACGATATTTAATATTTATTTCTCTCAAATTAGCTTTGCACTTACCTATAGCTGAGATCAAGGATCCTTGTAACCATCTCGAATTTTTGCCAGTTTTTTTAAAATCTTTACTTTCTTTTCGGATAAGGGCAGGGCGTGGATCGTTAGTGTCAACCTTAAACTGCAGCCAGAATAATGAATATAGAAGTAAACAAACACTGAAAAATCTATGTTTAAGAAATAATTTCGCCATATAACAGTCAAAGTTTACTTCAAAGACTGTAATAGCAACCAGAATAAAAAACTACATCAAAAGAGCCGAAATCGGTCCAATCAACAACTCCCGCTTCATTTTCAGTATCCATTTCACCACTAGAATCATTATCATTACCACTCATCCATTCGTTGGTAGCTAAAATGCAAAATTTCCGTTATAAGGATAGAAATACAATATCTCGCAATTGGCTATCAGAAAAGCCACCTATTTTTTCATCTTAACAAACTTAATTTTCACTATGAAATAATTATAAAAAATATGTTACCACTTATTACTGTCAATTTTTCAAAGATAAAATGTGTCAGCCCAAATCATCATTTTTTACATCTTACCGCTACAAACTACACAATACTTTAGATAAGAGCAAGGTGCAACTGCAGAAGAATGAGAGAAATAATTTCTGTATAAAACTTTGTTAAAACCTATATCAAAAACACCAATGTTTATTTCCATTCATGCGCCGTTTCTTCAAATGTACATATCAAATTTTATCAGTTTATACATAAAAATGAGTTAACTTTTAAGTATTAAGTGGCAGATTTTAACAAAAATGTGCTAGAAGCATTTTCTTTACGCACGTACTTTTTTAATTCCCTTTTTTAAATGTGAAAATGAAATATATGATCCTGAAAAGTACACAAGAATGCCTCGTGCGATGAATAAAATATTTGAGTGAAAGAGTGTGTCTAATACCTAATATTCTGTATGTAAATTAAAAGCTTATTTGTAAAGTCTGCATGTGAACAAAACAGTTTGCATACCGCTTTCACTGACATAATCAGATGTGTCGGACATAAAATAGCGTTGAATCAGTAGAAGTTGCTGTTCTGTAAGTGCATACATCTCCTTAAGATCTTTACTCATTTTATATCTGAAAACTGAAATTTTAAACAAACTAAAATTTAATTTATTGTGATATTTGCATATATACAACATATGCTATTCGCCGGCTTATTTAATGGAACACGAACTCCTCCTGTGAGTCATCGCAGGATTTCTAGCTTTGCAACTATAAACTAATTTTTGTTTCTCTCATAATTCTTTTTGTGTAATGCGTTATATTCAGTTGGCTTACTTCAAACAAATCCGAGCTTGTGGCTTCTGTGTATACCATATAATAATTTGCTGCTAATTTATTTCTTCTTTTAATCAATATTCGCTTCATTTTTTGCATCAATTTAAAATTCTTCAAATAATCGTTTAAATTTCCTTAGACATATCTCCTTTCACCACTTGAATAATGTCCCACCTGCATTCTCGTCTGGATGTCAGAAATCAGCAAAGTATTGACAATTTTACGATCTATTTCTTTCAAGTAATTAGCTAATGTCAGAAATGCATTTCAAATTGTTTTTTCCTATTTTTCGATTAATGTATCAACAATTTAAGTCAAAATGAAGAAAGTGAGAAATATGTAAAATTAAGCATGTGAAAAGTGAACAAATAATTACGAAGTGGCTGTAATATGTACAGAAGATTTCGTTTATGAAATAGGCTAGCAAACATTTCGAAATTCAAACGCTAAAACACGCCAAATATTTACCCATGTAACTCACGCGCACACACTCAAATATTTTTTTCACATAAACATTTTTGGCCATCTGTTTCACGATCGAACATCATTTCAATGAAATTAAACATTGGATTGAATTAAATTTTGAAAATACTGAGATATTTAAGAGAGACAGAGATTGATAGATTTGAAAAAATGTGTGGGGAAAGAGGAGGAAAAGATTGTTAGGAAGCGAATACATGCGTGTAGAAATAGGACAAGTTTGTTCAGAGACTTCAGCGAGATAAGAGACGATGGGGTTCGGTTTGCTTCAGTAGGTGAAGAATGAGAAAATAGGGTGAATTATGAAGAGACGGTAAAGAATAATAAGAATTATGGGATATTAGATGTGTGGAACATTGAACACTGCTCTGACCTCTATAATGTTTCCCGAATATTTTGAAGATTTTGAAAAGTAATGGAAATTGATTCGATTTTATGAATCTCGAATTTTACACAGCTATTTTTGTTCCTTGTCTTCGCACTGTATCACATTCGTAGAGATCTTTACTAACGAGCTTCTGCTGAGTGATCGTTTCTTTTTATTTCAAATTTCAATCATTTTCAGTTGCTTGATTACAAAAACTCTTTGATTATTAAATATTTTCTCATTTGGTGTCAAATACACTCATTACAGTGAAACTGTAGAATTGGGCGTAATTGTTTTCTATTGCTAAACGAGTGTACCTCACGCAGCTACTTCACGGTGTTCACGGTGCTGACATCGGTGCAAAAATTCTGACAGTAGCTCATTTCTAATCTAAATTGCAAAAATCTATAAACACTTTGCGCGTAACATTTAACTATTCCACCTTTTTTATCTCGTCAATGAATCGCATAAATGAATTTTTATTGAAAACTGATAGAAGTTTTTTAAGGTGAGATCATTATGATCGAACTGTTCACAATATTCAGCAAAGGCGGCATTGTGTTGTGGTGCTTCCAGGAAGGGGGACAACTTTTCACTGATTCAATTAATCAGCTGATCAGAGAAGTTCTGATGCAGGTTTATCCTCACTAATTCGATATTACCATTTGGTATGAATGGGGGAAACATACATATAATATAAGAACAGCTGAAAATTAATTTAGGAATCGTTGCTTCATTTGTAAGAAATGAAATTATATGTTCATTATTTCGGCTAAAGAAGGAAGTCGCTACGAGATTAGATTAAAAAAATGTATTTTTGAACAGATTCAAAAATATTGTTTAGAGCAGTTTCTAGATCCAAATATCAATTTGAACTTGTGGTCAGCTACTTATAATATCAAGTTAATCCCTAGAAAAAAAAATTCCCT